TTTATTTTTCTATTATTGTGCCGTAAATTAAATGCAATCTTATTTATCTTACCACAAAACTATATCTACTCTCATTTTAGATGCAATTAACAATGTTGGGGCGCGGTGAAAACCCCTTCTGGTTGCGACAGTAAACTTGTCGTTGTTCGGCTTCAGGTGTCTCTAGCTATCAATGCCGACATTTGATGCCAAGATTACTCAGGGTCTACTTGCGGTCTCCGCCCACGAAAGGTCGTGACCTATACAGGGTTAGCGATATTTTCGTACAGTGTCAAAGCTCATGGATTATTGTTGTTTCAAGTAAGAACACTGGGTGCACTGATGCCGATGTATCCGGGCGCAGTAATCATAGCCAAAGTGTCTTAGAAGAGCGTCGTGTGTTCTTAAGACTTCACTCGGCCTTTGGCCCGCCGTAGGCCACTTGAGTATCTTGCATCAATAGTCGGAATTGATAGCAAGATAAAGCAGGGATGACTGGGCGGTCTCGCCACGAAAGTCGTGACCTAGCTGATTATGGTTGGTAACAGTACTTCTTAGGACTTGGGAACGAATGGCATGACCTCGTTCGCCTCGAGCGTTTCCTGGCTAGCGGGTTTTCCTACCCCTCACCGCTGGTAACTGGGTCATCTTGGGCCTCTTCACGGTCTGGCTACCGGTTTGCTGCGGCGTACGCGTCTACCAGAGGTCCCTGTGGGGAGAGTCCCGTCGGGTTCTGCAAACTTCATACGAGGAACATCTCACTGTAGAGTGGGGACTACCGCCCCCCGCGGGTGACCGGGGTATCCAGTACACTTAACTAGGTGTTGAGTCACCCTGTCGGCGACAAACCTCTTCTCGTGCTCGGGGAAGAGCACGGCGGTACCGTCTACTTCTCGACGAGACTGACAGCATATACCGGCATCGTGTTATTAGCAGAGATCCCGGTGTCGTGTCCGTGTCGTTGGAGTCCGCACGGGCAAGAGCACACCCTGCAATTTTCGCTTCGGACTATCGTTGAACCTCACCCGTATCACCTTCGTGAAACCCGTCCTTGCGGGTTGCAAGCCGGTCTCCCGGTTGTGGGCTCGGGTACCTCAAGGTGGAGTCCGTACATAGGAGTGCTCTTCCACGTACATCGAGAGGTTGAGCAAAGGGACTGAAGTAACCGTTACGTCTTTACGACGGAAGTCCCTGTCGGTGAATTCAAGGTGACCCGTCCCCGAGCTTCCCTCCTCTACTGTCCCGTAGAGTCAGTGATCCCGTTCAGGGTTCGGCCTCGGGAGGCCCCACGATCCCCCTTTGCGACGGCATTTCGGGGATAGATCCTTCGTCCCTTTGGCTAGGACACGTGGGCGCACCGCGACAGCTGGGCTTTATAAAGCCCGTCTTATGCGTCGGTGTATTTAAGTCTCACACTCACTACTTTGCGGGTCGATAGATCTTATCCGTGACAACCAAGACCCGGGTTTTCGCATGTACGACAGGGTTCCTTTCGTGGGGTAAGAAAGGGGGGTTCAACCCCATCTTTCCGCACTCACCGTTCGAACCGTCAATTTTCAATCGTATAATGTCTGTACTTTTTTCCCGTCTGTGAGGAAAAGAAATGGGGCTTAGAGCCTCAAAATACTGAAATCTGTATTTTTGAAAATCTTGTTTTCCTTCTAATTTGTTATTCTTTTCCAAATTTAACACACTGTTATTTAATCAACAATAACACACAATTATCCTTGTTTTTATTTATTTGTTTAATTCTATAATCTTGGGCTTTCTAGCATGCTTTTTAGCCGTAAATAAAGTCACCGGAAACAGACGTAAGCCTATAAGGGACATTTCGAGCGATACACACCACAAACCCACTGAACAGATTACCCAAGATCCTCAGCTTGAAGCTCGTTGATTGGATGTTTTAGCCGCAATGCATGTTGGGATATGATGTTAATGCGATATGATATCCGAAAACATTTTTAAAAATAAAATAATACTTTATTCCTAGTGTTCTTGCTTTTTTCTTTGGAAGTCATCATATGACGGCATTGTAATACACGGTTCGGCTGCATTAAATATTACACATCTGCCGTAGTTCTTTATTTATAGAGCCCTGATGAGAAGACTTCTGGACAAACTTGAAGAACTGCCGCCAAAACTGAATATGTGACGTGGATCATAAATATATCAACAATTAAACAACATCTTGCATTTCTTTTCACAAAATACGTCTCCTTGCAGTATCAATAGTAATTCGGCTGACTTTTATATTTGATCCAATTGGTAGATAGGTTATATTTACACCATAACGGTGCACAGCTGATAGAAAAGGACTTGTAGTTTTTAAAGATATTACTGATTTTCTTTGAATATAAGAATGTAAATACTGAGTTGAGAGAATAGTCAGGGGATTTGGGTGATGGGAGACACATCTATGGAATCACAATTTCAATAGCTTACCATTAAATGACGGATATACCTTTCTGTCTGTGATGTTTTACAAATCATATATTAATGTGTAGAAGTAAAACGTGAGAAATAGTATAGCAATATCCTGTAAAATTATGTAAAAACATGAATAAAACTAGTCTTAAGATGTTATACATACATAAGTGTCCTACAATAATGATACAAAGTTATTATTAGTATGCTGTGTGTACCTTGTGTGCAGTGGTTAAAGCACGTTATTGAATTATTTTTGTTGAATAATGTTATTTTTGTTGAATAATGTTATTTGATGAAAAAAATATTATATACTTTCATAGGGGGAAAGTAGAAGGTCAATGATAGAAATATAGAATATAAAAAATCAAGAAGATACTGTAAGTGATCTCTACAATAAAACAGTTTAGTGCAAGATGTACAAAGATATTAATATGAGGATGTGCAAAACAGACAAACTAATGAACCTTTATTGACACATTTAAGAATACTTTAGGTTAAGGTCTTCTTTCAAATAAGAAAAAAGCTTTGGGGGTATCTATCTACAGATAAATATTAAGCCTGACAAAGTACTTATGGTCTAATATATTGCTTTCCTGCAATGTTAACTACAGTATGTTGAAGCACTTATTTTAACTGATATTATACACATTAATTATACTCTTATGTATGTAGATAGTATAAGAAATGTGCAGAATATGACAGTTTAATGGTGGAGGTACCATGGTAGTACACACA